GCTATTTCACATCTGAGAGGAATTTATCCTAAGGAAACAAACAATATTATTTGTTCATACTGGCTTGTTTATAATAGAGAAAATTTAGATATAAAGGCATGATTTCCATTAATAGAAAATCATAAATGTAACTATAAATCTGTACAAGGATTCCATCTCACCCCAGAAAGAATGGCTATCAAGAAATCAACCAATAACAAATGCTAGCGGGGTTGTGGGGAGAAAGGAACCCTTCTTCATTGGTGGGAGTGCAGACTGGTGCAACTACTGTGGAAATCAATATGGAGATACCTCAAAACACTGGGATTAGGGGTCCCATTTGACCCATCTATTCCTCTGCTGCTTATCTTCCCAAAAGAATTAAAAGAATCATACCACAGTGATATACGTGCACTCATGTTTATAGTGGCACAGTTTGTAATAGCTAAAACTTGGAAACAGCCCAAATGCCCATCACCTGGAGATTGGATAAAGATGTTTTTTAAAAAATAAAATGGAGTACTACTCAGCCATAAAGAATGAGAAATTAGAGACATTTATAGCTAAATGGATGCACATTGAGGCCATAGTCTTAAGTAAAATAAATAGGACACACATGTGTAAATACTGAATAGTTTCTCTGGTGTGAAAAACTAAAAGTGTAAATAAGGATCAAAATGTAAAACTGATATTGTGAAATATGAAGGAAGGTCTAAAGGAGTAGGGGAAGTGGGGAGGGTAGGGGAAAGGAAAGAAGGGAAAAGAAAAAATATGAGAAAAGGAAAACAATGGAAACAAAGTCTTTGTAAAAGAAAGAGTGGAGGGGATGAAGGGAGGGCAGGGGAATGGGGAAAAAATAAAAACCAAGATACATCGTGTAAAGGTACAAGATCCCAATGATGAATGTAACTGTATTGTATACCTAAAATGTACCAATAAACTTAATGGAAAAAAATTTGCTGAAGATATATATTTATTAATATGGAAAGAGATCCAAAATATAGTAAGGCAGGCTAATAAACCCCACATGTATATGATCAAAACATGATATATGCATGTATTGAAATGTCATAATGAAACCCATTAATATGTACAGTATGGATTAATAATAATAAAAGTGCTTCACAAAAAGGAACACTAAAAATCCCCATATGTATAGCAAGAGCTCATTTTTGTAAAAATACATGTAGTAGAGGGCACATAGGCATGTCTGGGTGCATATGTGCATTTATACGTAAAAGTTTAGACAGATACAAGTATTAACATTACCTTCAGATGATGAGACTAAGGACAGTGTTTAATGTCTTTATACATTTCTAAATTTTTTAATAATTCAAAATTAACTGACCACCTCAAAATGTTCTGCTTTAAATGAAAAAATACTATTAGAAACACTGACAGATTTTGTCAACTCAATGAAGACTAAAATTCAAGTTAGAACTAGGAGTTTAGAGATGTTAACTACAGTTGATGGCTTTCTGATTTTCTAAATTCAAGCAAATTATTTCCCCTTATTCAGTATTTATTTTTAAAAATCTAAAATTTGTATATTTCATTGCCTGAAAAGCTTGTGAAGGTGTAAGGCCTGGTTTAGACATAACACAAAGTGCTGGCAATCCTAGCACTTGGGAGGCTGAGGCAGGCAAATTGCTGTGAGTTTGAGGCCAGCCTGAGCTATGAGCCATGAGCCACATAGTGGGTTCAAGGCCAGCCTGAACTACATAGCAAAACTGTGTCTCAAAAAATAAACAACAACAAAAAAAGAAATAACATGAAGATCTGAGGGAGGGGAGGAAAAAGGGGATAAAAAAGATGTATTATGTATACACACCAACATCCAACAAGGAATGTAATCACTATGTACTGCAAACATGTACAAATAAAAAAATTGAAAAAAAAAATACCAGAGTAGACAAACTACCATTTATGCCAAACACTTTCTTTGCATTGCCTCATTAAAAAGCCTTGTAACAGTTCCCTTTACCCCACATCCTGGAAATAACGAGCAAAAATAAATTTAAAAAAAAAAAAGAAAGAAGTTAAAATAATTCTCCAAATTAGCTATTCCATTGTTTCAAAATATTTTATTATATGCTAATTTGTTTCATTTATACTACTAGTTTCTACTACTAGTATAGTAGTAGTATAGTATTAGTTTCTCTTAGTTCATTGAAAAGAAAGATTTATGCTATTATCTATTTCTTCTTTGTAAGACAGCCTTTTTTGTCTGTCTAGTACTTTGTGTAACTACTTTTTTTTTTTTCCTTTTTGGTACCAAGGATCGAACTCAGGACCTTGTGCTTGTAAGGCAGGCGCTGGAACCACTGAGCTAAATCCCCAGCCCTGTGTAACTACTTTTAAGATTATGATGATACACCATGTATTAACTATTGTTATTGTCATGCCTGACCTGAGTGGGGCAGGCCCTCTCAGCAAACATGCTGCCCTCAACAAACAACAGGAAACCACTAGAGGGCCATGCTCTTCTCAGTAAACAGGATAGCCATAAAATTAAGGACAGGACATATAACCTCCCAAGTGCCAAGAAGTCCAGTATTATCTACACACCTGCACTGACTGTCCTGGGAACTTTGACCCCAAGCATTCCATCCCAGATTCCTTAAAATTACAACCCCCATCCCCAGACCCTTATAAAAACTTAACTTCTCCTCTGGCCAACTGCTGACATCTTTCTCAATCCCAGGTTGCCTGCACCCAGGCAGAATAAATCAGCTCTTACTGCTCACACAAATCCTGTGTCTGAGTGGTGTCTATGTGCTGTTATAATTATTCTCTTATTTTGTTATGAAATTTTGTTTTACGTTTTCATAAAATAAAAACAAAACACATACAGATGCACGCACACATACACATCTTGTAATAATCTTGCCAGAATCTTAATGTTCTCAGGCTTGAAATGTGAACATTTCAAGGTGAAGAAACTTGCCATGTTCAAAGCTGCTATGTGAGAGATCTTGAGTTGAACAGAGGTCTCTGACTTCAGAGTCTTCAGGAAGTTAGGACAATATGCTTTACGCTTTATTACCTTCCAAGTCTCTCAATGTGTGCAATCTTTTACATCCTTATCTAATCTGTGAAGAAGAAAAAGAAGCTTGGACGATTTTAGAAAGATGTAGTAAATATCCAGAGAAGCAAGATTTAAATTGGGTACTGCTCTTTGGGACTTGTCCTCTATTTCTATTCAATCAAAAGGCCCAAACTCAAAATGCTTATGTAGGTAGTCACAGGAGAGGGAGACAGAGAGAGAGTCCACCCGTGTATGTGTACAAGGGGCCACAACTGACTGAGATAGAACATCTGTGCACTGAAGGAAGGTGGACCAGGGTAAGAGCAAATGGACAACATCTGGGTAGAAAGGAAGCCAGGAGGAAGGACAAATTTAAAGATGGACCAAGAGAAGTGCCAATAGGAGAGAAAAGGAACTCAGAAAAAAGGGAATTATGAGTTATTCCCCAGTACTTTTTTTTCTTTATATACTCTTCTTTGATGATCTTGGTCATTATTAGGCCTTTAACACTTTCGTATTTGGATAAGTGCTAAATCCTTTGAGTCCTGACTTTTCTCCAAAGTTAACACCCCACTGAACCACCAGATGGCTACATCCATCTACATTTCCCCTCAGCACCTTAAATCCAGTAGGTCCAGTAGCACTTCCTCTGCGCTGAGCAATGAAACATCCAATATGAACTATTCTCTCTGCTATTCGTTCAATCATTCTTTCATCCAACCATTATTATGGATGTTATCTCACACACTCTGCCACAGCACTAGGTATCTCCATTCACTCACGAAGTAGGGTGATTCTTTACGTGAAAAATCTCGTCTGTCCACCTCATCAGCTGCTCAACTCAGTTCTTTTCTGAGATCTACTGAGAATCCCTCGTTTTAACCACGGCAATACAGCCCTCCATGTTAACTGGTCTTGCATGCCATTCATTCTGCAATGAACACTTAACACTTAACCCTGTAACTGGGGTCCAGAAGGAAGATGTTCACAGTGGAAGCTTAGAAACTGCAAACTTTCTGGTAAGGGAATTAGCAGAGCAAGTTAGGAGACTTGTCCCGATGGAGTATTTGAAGTATACCATTTGAAGCATGGTATTTTCCTTAAACTGTAAGATCTCATACATATAACATCAGCATGATAATTTTTATTTCTGGAGTATAGTTGTGGGAGTCTGGGAGAGACTGCTAGAGGTTTTCTGATAGAAAGCTCTTCATCCCTCATCTCTTGGGTAGGTAATCAAATAACTACGTGTTGAATATATCGCCTTCTATGACACGGGCCATGGATGCTGTATTCTTCATTGTACCTCCAGTACCTAGAATATCTGGCCTATAGCATAGTAGGTGTTCAGTAAATATCTGGGGAATTCTAAAAAGGCACGGACCATAAATATTTTTATTCATCAGTTCAGGACAAAGATGACGGGGCCTGAAGGAAAAAGAAATAGTACCAGTTCCTTGCCCTCGTCCCTCAGGGCTTGGTACGTGATACCTGTTTGCTAAGTGAAACAAATCATCCAGCTCCACAACTCCAAAATCAGGCCTTTGGCTCCGCAGCCAGGCCTCGCAGCGCGGCCACCATCAGGCCCAGGCCCGCGCTTCCCTCCCTCCCAGCTTGTGCTCCTGCTGCCTCCCCACACACTCAGGGTTCACCAAGCTAACAAGTGAGCCCTCGGGGCTGCCCCGAGGTCTGGCTCACGGCTGCGGCCTGGCCGGACCCCCACCCGCTCTGGCCCCGGGAAAGCTCCCGGGTCCGGTAACTCGGGTCCGGCAACGCTCGCCGCAGGCCTGGCTGCCCGGCCCGGCCCGGCCCCGCCGCGCTCCTCTAAACTGCAAGGCGGGAAGCGCCTGCAGCTGTGAGGTGCCAAACAGCGGGGGCGGAGGCCGGGGGCCGCGGACTCAGCCGCTGGTCGAGAGGAAGACACGAGGGCAGGCCGCGCTGAGGCGACGCTCCGCCCGCGGCCCGGCTCGCCGAGCGGCGGCTCCTCACTCACCACGGTCCGGCGGGGCAGCGCGCTGGGGGTCCGCGACAGGGCCCGGCGGAGCCTCCGCACCCGGCCCGAGCGGGTCCCCCCCGAGCTCTCCGAGCCGCTGTCGTCCGAGATCACGATGAAGTCCTCCATGACTACGGCTACCGGCCGACCTAGAGCGCGGGCGGCCAGCGACCCGGGAGGCGGTGGCAGCGGCGACTTCGGCTGCTGCTACAGAAGCGACTGTGGCGGCAGCAGCAGGGACAGCCCGGGCCATCAGCTCGCTGGCCCCGCCTCCTCTCTCCAGCACCCCGCCCAGTATATATAGGGACCGCCCACTTCCTCGAGATCGCGCAGACTGGTGGCGAGCCGCAGGCTGCGGGTTCTGGGCCTTGAGAGAGGAGAGAAGGGGAGGGGGAGGAAGAAATAGGGCGAGCTCAAAGAGACAGATGAAAGGGAGAGATGAGAGAGAGAGAGGTGAGAGGGAGAGGTGACAGGAAGAGATGAGATAGGCGGGCATTGGGGCGGCCGGGCAAGGGCAAGGCGCTGAGTTGTGACCAACCCCTGTCTCTCTGAAATGTGAACTGGTCTCTGAAGAGATGGTTTGCCTGACTGACAGGAAGAGGGGTCCCTTGAAGATGGATGACTTGCTCTAACTGACCCTTACTGATGGGGTAGAAGGGTGCCCTGACTGACCGAGGGACGGTTACCTGGGTGCACACTGGCAGGGTAAAGGGGTCCCCAGTTTACAGTGGGTGACCCAGACTCTTACTGATGGGGTAGAGGAGAGGGGCTCTGAGTGGCCGAGGCGGGGTGACTTGTCTCTTAGGTCCCCAGCTGATTGAGCTGGCTTTCTGCTGAGGTACAAGAAAGAGACCCCACTTCTTCGTATACATGTGCAGTAAGTATTATCTATAGGATCAACTCCTAAAAGTGGTATTATTGAATTTAAAGTGGATGTAGAGTTGTTTAGTCGGTAGCTCGATGAGAAGCTGAAAAGGTGCACAAAGGAAAGCTCTGGGGTAGTAGAGGCCATGAATAATTAGACTCATCCTTACAATAAATGTGGGTAATTGACTAAATCCTGCTGTTTGGGCTCCAACAACTTTATAAAATACAGTAACAGAGCCAGAAGAAAAAGTATGTTTATCAGAAGGGGGATTTGTTCCCAGAGCAATGCATTTCAGGTGCTAAGCAGCGTCGAGTGCAGTGGCTTTTAAAGTTTAGTGAGCATCAGAATTACCCAGAGAACTTACTAAAAGACGGATAACTGTGCTGCATCTCAGAGTTTCTGACAGAGATACTGAAATTTTTGGAGTGAGGGTCCAAAATTTGCATTTCTACCAAGTTCCTGGGTGATGTTGATGTTGTTAGTCGTAACCACACTTAGAACCACTGGTCTGGTGGACAAGAAGTTTATGATTAACAGATTTCAGATGTTATTTCCAATAAGTGAATTGTGAAGAGATTCATTAAGTTGACTTTACCTAATGCCATTAAACAGTTTTACTCCCTACTTCTTTTTGTGTGTGCTGGTGATGAAATCAGGGCCTCATAGATGCTAAGCTTGCTCGCTACCAGTGAGCTACACCCTTAGCCCCAACTTCTACTTTTTAACTTCCTACTTCTTGAAAGTACTTCTTCAAAAGTACCACTTCTTGTCTTCTCTATGCTTCATTGATTTACTTCAGTGCTAGAAATTGAACCCAGTGCCTCACACATGCAAGGCAAATGCTCTACCACTAACCAACACCTCCAGCCCTCAGTGATCATTTTTATCCCAATGACATCCCCCACATGTTTATCTCTGGCCCAGGCCCATCCTTAAAGCTGCAGTAATATACATCCAGATGGTTATTGAAGTTCCTACGCATCTCAGGTTAAATATGTGTAGAACTGAACTCACCTCTACTCACCCCCCACCCCAATTTTTTCCTTCAAAAAAGCTTACTCTCCTTCACTGTTCCTTGTCTGTCAGTGGTGGTACCACCAGCCAACATTTGTTCAAGTGAGAAACTGAGCATTCTGCTTGACTTCTACTTTTTCCTCATCAATTAGTCATATCTATTTTAGCTCCTAAATATCTCTTGCATACATTCACTTCTTTTGGCTTCCACTGCTCTGATTCTAGCCAAACTAAGATCCCCTTTATTGTAATAGCTTTCCATCCACTCTTCCTGAATCTACTCTTGTTGTCTTTCATTCTTTTCTTTGCCCTCAGCCAAAGTGATCTTTTTAAAAGTATGTAGTCATGTCCCCGTCTAATAACACTATATCCTAGTTAGTTCTAGTTGCCATAACAAAATACTATAGACTGGCTCAAACAACAGAAATTTATTTCTTACAGTTCTAGAGGCTGTGAAGTTCAAGATAAAGGTACTGATTGAACCTGTTTCTAATGAGAACTGTCTTCTCCTTGGGTGGCAGGTGGCCAATTATCACTATGTCCTCACATGGCCTTTCTGTGCACAAAGAAAGAGAAAGATCTCTTCCTCTTTCCTTGTAAAGCCACTAAACTCATACTTAGGACTCATGACTTAATAGAACCCAAATTACCTCCCAAAGACCTGACTGCCAAAGATCATTACATTGTGGATTAAGACTTCCAACACAAACATTTAGTTTCATCACACACTATAAGGTTCTAAAACTATAGACAAATATAACTTTATATGCATTTCCTAGACTGTATAAATATATATTTAGATATTGTAACTAATGATATATAGAGCAAATATGCATTTATTTAATAACTTGTTAAGCAGCTATGCTATACTCAAGGGATATAGTAATGAACAAGACAGACTTGATCTCTTACTCTAATAGTACAGTATTTAAAGTTTAAGGGGAAGATCAATAGTAAACCAGGAAATACTTAAAAATTATAAGCATAGGGCCAGGGATTTAGCTCAGTGGTTTTGCCGCCTGCTGCGCAAGCGCAAGGACCCGAGTTCAATCCCCAGTACCAAAAATAAAAAAATTAAAAAATTAAAAAATAAATTAAAAAAATTATAAGCATATAGTCAGTCTGAGAAGTCTCAACTTATGAATCATAAATATAAAACAGCTTTTATTTTCCCCCAGTAATTATCACTGTCTTAGAAATCCTCTTTCTAGGCAGTATATTTTCTTTTTTTCAATTTTTTTATTAGTACATGTTTGCAGTACATAATGATTACATTCCTTGTAGGGAGCTGTTACATGTACATAACACATTAATTCTTTTTTCATCCCCTTCCCCTCCCCTCCTTCTCTCTAGATAGTGTATTTCCTTAAGAACATCTTACTAGCCTTATAATTTTTCAGCCTCTTTTAGTAATTAATAAAGTCTTATTCCAAATAATAAAACTTAGACCTGGAGGGACATGTTTGTAATCTAGCTGCTCAGGAGGCTGAGGCAGGAGGATTGCAAGTTCAAGGCCAGCCTGGATAACTTAATAAAGCCCTGTCTCAAACACTAAAATAAATAAATAGGGACTGGAGCTGTAGCTCAGTGGTAGAGCAAATTCCAGGCCTGGGTTCAGTTCTCAGTGCCATTAAAAAAAATTCTGATATGTGCTGCAACACAAATGAACCTTGAAAACTTTGTGACACATGAAATAAACCAGGTATAAAAGGACAAATATGTGTTTTTCCACTTATATGAGATACCTAGAATAGACAGAAGTTACCAGGGACTGGGGGAGAGGAGAGAAGTTGTTCAATGCTCAGAGTCTTTGTCTGAGATGATAGAAGTGTTCTGGGAATCAATAGTGGTGATGGTTGTTATATGATGTGAATGTACTAATGCCACTAAACTGCACACTGAAAATGGATATAATAGAAAGTTTTGGTATGTTTATTTGCCATAATAAAAAAGTGAACATTTTTCCTCCCCTTCAGTGCTTCTGTGTTTACTTCTCTAGAACTTTCCTGTGCATTTACCTGAACTCATATGTGCTTATGAAAATGACATACACTTTTAGCTTTCTACAAGAGCTATTAGTATGGTGATTTGAAACCATTATAAAAGGTATAAATGTTCTAAGCAGTGGGCTTTCTGCCAAATTAATGGAGATAGGTTTTGGTGGCTAACATCTTTAAAAGGTTGTTTTTTCTTTCAATTTTCTCTTTTTTAATACAGGGTCAGTACCAGTAGACCTGCTAGCTCGCTTTGTTTAAGCTAAGGCTAGCTGGCTCAGGTTTCTCCTCTGTCCTAGGGAACACTTTGTCCTGCCTGCTGCATTCCAGGTACAATCTCCCTGTTTCAGGACTCCTGACTTTTCTGCTGGATTGTTTGGCAGACATGGTCTCAGTTAAAACAACTTCATTTAAATCACTTTCTTATCTTTTCTGCCTGTTTCCATCCTAGCGTCTGAATTGCTGGGATGTCAAAGTCTGTAAAAAATCTTTTTAATGCCTTATGTTCCAAGATGATACATCCTCATTTGGAAAAATTAAAGCAAGTGAGAATGGTTAAAAAGCAGAATGTGTAATCCCTATCACACTGATGATATCTTTTCAGACATTTCCAGATAGATGGTCCATACCCACATGTGCAAACACAGTTTTACATAAATGGCATTATACTGTGGATATTGTATTGCAATTGACTGTCTTAAGTTAATATGTCCTTATGGTTTTTTGTGAGTCAATAGATTACCCATTTTGTTGGATGATATAAACATTTTAAAATACCTTGACATTTGCTCTTCTTATTGTATAAAAGAGCACAAAGAAGCAAACAAAAGTGTAGCAATTTTCTCATCCCGGATATCCCGAATTGAACAGTTGAAAGAAACACATTGACGAGATTAGAAAATTCTTGCTTGAAAAAATTACAAAATGAAAAGCAGATATTAAATGCCACATTCCTAGCCCTTTTTTCCAAGGCTATATCCTTTATTAGTCTTTTGGGGGGTGTGAATCCTTCAAAACATACAAAATTACTACATATTTTAATCTTTCTGTCTCTGATTTTAACACAAAAAGATCACGTGGTAGATAATCATTTTTTTTTTTACTTACTGTATCTTGAGGATCATTCTCTAACCAGAGTATAAATATAGCTTGTGTGTGTGTGTGTGTGTGTGTGTGTGTGCGCGCGCATGCATGTGTGTTTGATTTAATTTAATTTTGGGGTACCATGTAATGTTTTGATAATTCATACATTTTGTAATGTTTAAATTGGGTTATCTTCCTATTTTTATTTTTTTTTAATCTTCCTATTTTTTTTTTTTTTTGGTACTGGGGATCAAACTCGGGTCCTTGTGCTTGTGAGGCAGGTGGCGGAACCACTGAGCTAAAT